CCCCCCGCCCCGCTGGCCGAGGCCCCGCACACGGTGGCCGGGGTGGCCCTGGCGCGGCTCCGCGGCTGCCTGGACGGGGTGGCCGCCCGCCTCGAGGGGGCCCCCGCCTGCTAGGGACCCCCGGGACCCCACGGGACCCCCGGGCCCACAGGGACCAGCCCAGGACCCCCCAGGACCCCCCGGGCCCAGCCCAGAACCTCAGCGGGGCCCAGCAGGACCCGCAGGCAGGAGCAGGAGCTCAGCAGGGACACCACGAGTGGCACCGGAGTGACTCTGGCACCTTTTTCTACAGCTTTACTGTTACTGTTATTGTTAGTTATTATTAATTTATTTAATTTAAAGCCCCTTTTGCAGCAGCCTCAGTCGTGTCTGTGATGACTCTGGGGACATGGGACACCCCAGGGGACAAGGGACACCCATGGGACATGGGACACTCCTGGGCACAAAGGATTCCCCTGAGAAACGGAATCCACAGTGTCACAGGGGCACCTGGGGATAAGGGACACCCCTGGAGACAAGGGATAGCCCCGGGGACGGCGGCCACACGGGGACAAGGGACAGACCTGGGACATGGGACACCCCTGGGGACAAGGGACTCCCCTGAGACACGGGATCTGCAGTGTCACAGGGGCACACGGGGACAAGGGACACCCCTGGGGACAAGGGACACCCCTGGGACATGGGATCTGCAGTGTCACAGGGGCACACGGGGACAAGGGACAGCCCCAGGACACGGGGCACCTGGGGACAAGGGGCTGTGGGGCCCTGGGACGTCCGGCCCCCAGGGCAGGGGTGACACGGGGACACCCCGGTGACTCAGTGGCAGCTGGTGACTCGCTGGTGGCTCTGCCATCCCCCGGCCTGGTGTGACCCTGAGCCGAGCTGGGGACACGGGGGGGGCTGGGACCCCCAGTAACGGGGAAAGGGACGGGGACAGGGACATGGGGTGTCACACACGGTGTCACTGACAGGGTCACCCTGTGTCCCCTGCAGCGCTGGCCCCTCCCGGTCCCTGCCCGGAGCCCCAGGGAGGGGACAGCCCGGGTGGCCGTGGGGCAGGGCCACCCCCGGGTCCCTCACAGCTGGGGCCACACGGGGCCACCGTGACCCAGCAGGGGTTGGGGGGGACACAGAGGGGACCCGAATTCACGGGACCCCCCAGCCCCCCCGGGGGTCTCCACCCCCCCTCCCTGGGCCCTCCCACCCACGGGAGATGTTCTGGGGTCCCCAAGGGGGGGCGGCACTGACAGACCCCAAATTTTCCTCAAAAAACACATTTTTATTAAAAGCCAGGAAGTCACAGAGCCACGGGGGGAGCACCCCCAAATCCTGGGGGGAGCCAGGAGGGACCCAGGGCTGGGTCCCACCCCCAGCCCCCCCCAGAGCGCATGGGGCAGCCCCCCAAAACCCCCCTGTAAGGTTTGGGACCCCCGGCACCCCCAGGGGGGGTTTTGGGGTGCCAGGGGGGTTTTGGGGGAGCCTCAGCTCTCGAACCACTTGCTCCCCCGGGCCGTGGGGGTGTTGCTCCCCAAAATCTTCCTCTTGTACCTCTCCACCAGCTCCTGGAACCGCGCCTCGGCCCCCCCGGGGCCCCCCCGGCGCCGCCGCTGGCTCTGGGGGCAGGAGGGGGTCAGGGGGGGACAGGGGGGACAGGGGGCAGGGGGGTTTTGGGGGAGCCTCAGCTCTCGAACCACTTGCTCCCCCGGGCCGTGGGGGTGTTGCTCCCCAAAATCTTCCTCTTGTACCTCTCCACCAGCTCCTGGAACCGCGCCTCGGCCCCCCCGGGGCCCCCCCGGCGCCGCCGCTGGCTCTGGGGGACAGGAGGGGGTCAGGGGGGACAGGGGGACCCCACAGCCCGGGGCCCCCGAGCCGGGGGGGCAGCGCCGGGGGTGCCCCGTTGGAGGGGGTGACCCCAAACCCCCCCGGGGAACCCCAAATGCCTCACCTGGGGAGGGGGCACCCGCGTCTTCTCCCGCCGCCGAGAGGCCTTGGGGGCTTTGGGGGGCTTGGGGGGCGGCTGGGCCTTGCCCTTGTCCCGTTTCCTGGGGGGAAAAGGGGAATTGGGAAAAGGGGGAGCTGGGGGGGAGAGCCCGGGGGGCCCCGAGGGGCAGAGACCCCCGGGGAGGGGAAGGAGGGGAGGGAAGAGAGGGAAAAGGGAGGGAATGGGGAGGGAAAAGGGGTGGGAAATGGGGCAGAAAAGGGGAAAAGAAAGGGAAATGAGAGAGAAAAGGGGGGACAAAGGGGAGGAAAGAGGGAGAAATGAGGGAACGGGAGGGGGGAAAAGGGGGGGAAGGAGAGGAAAAGGGAAGGGTGGAGAAAGGGGGACAAGCAGGGAAAAAGGGGAAAAGGAAAGGGAAAAGGGGACAAAGGAGGCAGAAAGGGGACAAACAAGGGCGGGCACAGCCCCTGACCTGATCTTGGGGCCGCGGTGCGAGGGCACGGCCAGCACCCTGGTGCGGGGGGCGCCGGGAGCCCCCCGGGCCCCCGGGCCCTGCGTGCGGAACCCGGCCCAGGGGGCCCTGGGGGGCGGCCGGGGGTCCCCCCGAGCCCGCGGGGGGGGCAGGCTGCTCCTGGGGGGCATCCGGGGCTCCCTGGGGAGGCTCTGGGGGTCCCGCGGCCGCCTTGGCCTTGGCCTTGAGCTGGGGGGAAAGGGGGTCAGCAATGGGGCAGGGATGGGGACAGGGCTGGAAGCAGGGCAGGGGTCAGCAGTGGGGTCAGGGCTGGGGACTCCGGGGGGCACATGGGGTCAGGGCAGCGGTCAGCAGTGGGGAACCCGGGGGCACAGGGGTCGGGGCAGGGGTCAGCGATGGGGACCCCAGAGGCACAGGGGGGCACAGAGGTTAGGGCAGGGGTCAGCGATGGGGTCCCAGGGCGCACAGGGATCAGCAGTGGGGTCAGGGCAGGGGACACAGGTGTCAGGGCAGGGGTCAGCAGTGGGGTCAGGGCAGGGGGCATGGGTGTCAGCGCAGGGGTCACAGCGGTCACAGGGTCAGCAGTGGGGTCAGCAGTGGGGTCAGGGCAGGGGACACAGGTCTCAGGACAGGGGTCAGCAACGGGGACCCTGAGGGGCACAGGGGTCGGGGCAGGGGTCAGCACTTTAAAGCCCTCAGGGGCACAGGAGCCAGGGAAGGGGTCAATGATGGGGTCCCAGGGGGCACAGGGATCAGCAGTGGGGTCAGGGCAAGGGACACAGGTGTCAGGGCAGGGGTCAGCAGTGGGGTCAGGGCAGGGGGCATGGGTGTCAGCGCAGGGGTCACAGCGGTCACAGGGTCAGCAGTGGGGTCAGGGCAGGGGACACAGGTGTCAGGGCAGGGGTCAGCAGTGGGGTCAGGGTGCCACAGGGGTCGGGGCAGGGGTCAGCACAGGGGTCACAGGGCTCAGTGCTGGGCCCCCGGGGGGCACAGGGGCCAGCAGTGGGGTCAGCAGCGGGGTCAGCACTGCTCACCAGGCCCCGCTGGATGCGCTGCTCCCGCAGCCGCAGCTTCCGCCGGTCCTCGAGCGCGAACTCCACGATCGGGCGCTGGGGGGCACGGTGGGCACCCCAAACACCCCAAACACCGGGGGGGCGCCCCAAAATACCCCAAACACCCGGGGGGCACCCCAAATACCCCAAACACCCAGACACCCGGGGGGACACCCCCCCCCCCCCCACCACAAACCCCCCCACACAAAAGGGAAGGCCCAGGGTGCCACAGGGGTCGGGGCAGGGGTCAGCACAGGGGTCACAGGGCTCAGTGCTGGGCCCCCGGGGGGCACAGGGGCCAGCAGTGGGGTCAGCAGCGGGGTCAGCACTGCTCACCAGGCCCCGCTGGATGCGCTGCTCCCGCAGCCGCAGCTTCCGCCGGTCCTCGAGCGCGAACTCCACGATCGGGCGCTGGGGGGCACGGTGGGCACCCCAAACACCCCAAACACCGGGGGGCACCCCAAAATACCCCAAACACCCGGGGGGACACCCCCCCCCATATACCCAAAACCCCCCTATACAATGGGGAGCGCCCTGAAATCCCCTCAAGTACCCGGGGACACCCCAAAACCAAGAGGACACTTGTGAAGCTCCCCTTCTGTGTGGGGGACACCCCAATACCCCAGGGGGCACCCCCGAGCAATGGGGAGCCCTCAAAACCCAACGGGAGATCCCAAAATTCACCAAAAACCCGAGACACCCCCACACCACGAGGGCACCCCGAAATCCAAGGGGACCCCAGAGACCTCCCTAAAAACACCAGGGGGGTAACCTAGAACACCCCAAACCTGGGGGGCACCCCAAAACCCCCAGTGGAACCCCAAACTGCCCAGGAGAATCCCCAGAACTCATGGGGCACCCCAAAGCCCCCGGGGGTCCCAGAAAACCCCAGGGGGACCCCAGAATGGCAGGGGCAGCTCCGGGGGCTGCAGAGGGGTCCCCGGGCGTGCCCCCACTGACCTTGTGGGCCCCGAAGAGCTCGGGGTTGTTGTTGAGGCGCCGCAGGGCCCCCAGGGCCTCCTCGTGCTCCGCAAACTCCACGAAGGCGAACCCCAAAGATTTGCCATGGCCCCGCAGCTCGCGCATCACCCGGCACTGGGGAGGGCAGGGCGTCACCCCAAAACACACCCAGGGCACCCCAACCATCCCTGGGGGACCCCAAAACCTGCCCAGGGCACCCCAAAGCCCCCCACACCTCCGGCATCACCTGGCAGTAGGGAAGGGATGGGATCACCCCAAAACAACCCCCCAACACCCCCTGGAGAACCCCAACATCCCCCAGGGGACACAGCCGGGACCCCTCACCCTCCCTGCACCCCAAACCCCTCCTGGGGGACCCCAACTCTGCTGCAGCCCCAAATCACCCCCAAATGGCCTTGAAGGAGGGGACACAGCACTGGGGGACACGGGGGGGCACCAGGGGGGACATGAAGGGACACAAGGGGACACAGAGGGACATGAAGGGACACGAATAGACACCAAGGGACACGGGGGTACACAGAGGGACATGGGAGGACACAGAGGGACACAGGGGGACATAAAGGAACACAGGAGGACACAGAGGAACTTGAAGGGACACGAGTAGAAGGGACACAGAGCAATACAGGGAAACACAGAGGGACCCAGGGGGGCACAAGGGGACACAGGGGCACCCAGGGGGGTACAGAGGCACCCAGGGGGACACAGAAGGACACAAAGACACCCAGGGGCACCCAGGGGGACACAGGGACACCCAGGGGGGTACAAAGGCACCCAGGAGGGCACAGGGGCATCCAGGGTGGCACAGGACACCCAGGGGGGCGCAGAAGGGACATAAAGGGACATAAAGGGACCCAGGGTGGCACAGGGACCCAGGGTGGCACAGGTGGCACAGGGCAGGGACATAGAGGGACTGAGAGGGGCACAGCGGGGCACCCAGGGTGGCAGAGGGGCACCCACCTCCTTGATGAGGGGCAGGTGGCACAGGTGGCACAGGGCAGGGACATAGAGGGACTGAGAGGGGCACAGCGGGGCACCCAGGGTGGCAGAGGGGCAGCCAGGGGGCGGAGGGGCACCCACCTCCTTGATGAGGGGCGCCGTGCCGGCGGGGCGGCGCAGCAGGCGGCGCAGCAGCGCGCGCAGCCCGGCCGAGGGCAGCGCCTTGGGCAGGTTGTGCAGGCACAGCCGCGTGCGCGACACGGCCACGTTGGGGTCCCGCAGCCGCCGCCGCTTCAGCTCCTCGAACTGGGGGCACGGGGGGGGTCAGCGGGGCCGGGGCACCCCCGACCCCCCCGGCCCGCGGGGCACTCACCCGAGCGCGCTTGGCCATGTCCGAGTCACTGACGCCCTCGGCGGCGCGGGAGCCCGGCCGGATGGCTGGGGGGGATTGGGACATCAGGGGATTGGGGACATCAGGGGGGCTCTGCGGGANCGGATGGCTGGGAATGGGGATTGGGGAGATATGGGGATTTGGGGGGGATTGGGGAGATGAGGGGATTTGGAGGGGAATGGGGAGATCAGGGGATTTGGGGGAGCTCAGGGAGCCCGGGCAGATGGCTGGGGTGGGAATTGGGGTCAGGGGGATTTGGGGGGCTCAAGGGAATAGGGGAGGCCAGGGAGATGGCAGGGATAGGAACTGGGGGAGCTCAGGGGATTTGGGGGGCTCAGGGGAATGGGGGAGCCCGGATGGATGGTTGGGATGGGGAAGTCTGTAATTTTGGGCATCTGGGGGGGTCAGGAGATACTGGGAGTCCCCAGGCAGATGTTTGGGGCAGAGAATGAGAGTGTTTTGAGAGGATCAGGGAAATGTGGTGGGGGAAAAAGGGGGTCAGGGGGTTTGGGAAGCATTGTGGGGCAGAGGGAATGAGGGCTGGGGGATTTGGGGACCAAGGGGAAACAGGGGTTGGGGTCCCCAGGAGAAAGGGGAGGTTGGGGTTCAGGGCAGGGAATGGAGGTCAGGGAGGGGAAGGGGGGCACGGTGCCCCTGACTCACCCCCCTCCCGGGCCAGGTACAGGTTCCTGGTGCCGCCCCGGGGCCGGGCTGCCCCCGAGCCCCCCCGGAGCCCCCGGGCCTGGTCCCGGCTCAGGGCGGGGTCCACGCGCAGCAGCCGCCCCCCCACGCGGAGCCCCCCGCCCTACGGGACAGCGGGTCAGGACCCCGGCACCCCAAACCTTCCTGACCCCCCACACCCACGGCATCCCCAAAACCACAGCATCCCCAAAACCACAGCATCCCCCAAACCCACGGCATCCCCCAAACCCAGAGCATCCCCACACCCAGAGCATCCCCCACACCCACAGCATCCCCCAAAACCTCCCGCACCCCTCAAAACCCCCCAAACTCACCCAAAAACTCCCATCCCACCCAAACTCCAAACTACCCCCAAAACCCAACCAGAACCTCC